AGTTTTGGACGCCCTGAGTTTCAACTTTTCCTAGGCTACTACTAGGCTCCCAAAGCCCGAGGCAGTGTCTGGATAGGTGCTGTCCAGCAGACCTTGGAGCGATGATGGACAGAGTCTGTGGTTGGATCATTTATAGCAATAGCCACTGGCCAGAGGTGACTTTGAGTACCTGGAATGTGGCCAGAGTAGCTAACTGAAATCTTTGAGACAGAGTTCCTCGGTGTAAGAGCACTGGCTGTTCTAGACTCACGTCGTGAACCAGGCTGGCCTCGAACTCACAGAGATCTGAGTGCCTCTGCTTCCGGAGTGCTGGGATTAGAGAAGTGCACAACTATGCCTGGCTGAATGGTTTTCTTTTTAATTAGCATACAGAGTACTGGTTTTTGTTTTGTTTTGTTTTGTTTTGTTTTTTGTTTTTTTTGAGACAGGGTTTCTCTGTGTAGCCCTGGCTGTCCTGGAACTCACTCTGTAGACCAGGCTGGCCTCGAACTCAGAAATCCGCCTGCCTCTGCCTCCCAAGTGCTGGGATTAAAGGCGTGTGCCACCACTGCCTGGCGAGTACTGGGTTTTATTCTGGCACTTTTACACATAAATGTCATTATACTGTTTTCATTTGGTTCCCCCACATTCTTGTGTGTACCCCTCATTACTTTCCCTTCCCTCAGCTTTCTTCTACTCTTCATTTTTGTCTTTCTTTTTGTCTTCTCTTCCTTTTTGTTTGTTTTTGAGACAAGGTCTCACTATGTAGCCCTGATTGGCCTAGAGTTTGTTATGTAAACTAGGCTGGCTTCAAACTCACAGAGATCCACTTGCCTTTGCCTCCTGAGTCCCAGGACCAAAGGCAGGTGCCACCATGCCTGGCTGTGATCCTGCTTCTTAAATTCCTATATACATTGTTTAAAGTTGCATTGGTTGAATTGTTTATAAGGAATCTCATGCTCCATATATGACAGTCACAGGCAGAGGGTGGTTCATTTGAGCCATATGAATTTAGTTAAAAAAATAATAATTGGGCTATGAAAGAATTTTTTTTGTTTTTTTTTAATGAAGAAATTCTTTTGAGCTTTTAATTTTTATCTTTTTTATGCTTATTGGCAGAGTCAAGTGTTGTAATTTCTTTTCTATTGCTAGAACAAACACCACCACCTAATGTAACCAAGGGCAGGAAAGGGGTTATTTCAGCCAATTGGCGTTAGTCCATCATTCAATACGTGGTTTTATGTCTATATCTTCAATTCAATTCCATTGATCAATGTGTCTTTCTTCGTGCCCAATATCATACATTTTATTACCATAGCTCTGTAGTACAACTTGAAATCTGGGATGGTGATATCTTCTACAGTTATTTTATTATTCAGGATTGTTTTAGCCGTCCTAGATATTTTGTGTTTCCATGTGAAACTGAAAATTGTCCTTTCAAGATGTGTGAAGAATTGTGTTACAATTGTGATGGAATTCACTCAACAGCAAAATAAGCACAGCAGAAACCACTGAAGAGCTCTGCTTCCTTTCTGGGTTTCCAGTCACTCAGGCTCTTGTGCAGCTTGTCAGACATCCTGACTTCCTGCCTAGGTAACGGCACTTCCCACAGTGGTCTGGGCTCGACACCATCAATTAACAATCAAGATAATCCTTCTAAAACATGTCTACTGTTGAGCATGATAAAGATAATTTCTCAGTTGGAACTCTTTTTTTTTTTCAGGTGACTCTAAGCTGTATCAAGTTAGCAACTAATGTTTGATGTTGAATTTACAACTACTTGCATCAATTTTGTCATTTCATGATTAATTTTGTAGAAATATATTCTTTATATTTGTATTTAAAATTGCTTTTGGGATGGTTAATTATAGTATTTTATAGTTTTTTGAAGATACTTTTATTGAATGTAATTATTTATTATTTTAATTTTTTATATTTGGATATTTATATTCATTTTACTGTGATCTGTATTGCTAAAATCTCTCCTTCTCCTTTTAAAGAAACGAAACAAAACCAAAATAAAAAATACTTTTATGAAATAAATTTATTTATATATAAAGAAATACGAATTTTTTGTAAACTTTCCACAGATTTTTATAATTAAAGTCTACCCTGTCAAAATATCTTAAATTGATAGCTTTGTTTTCTTATATGCATTATCTCATTTATTATTTGTCTCTTGGAGCCTGTAGTTTTTGTTGCTTTGTTTTAACTTCTCAAAAAAATCTTAGCTTTTGTACACATGCTTTTGCTACTGATAAAATGCATCTCAGAAATTACCTTTCCATACTTCTTTGGCTCTGTAAGTAAATATTGACATATTAAATTTTGCTATCAACTATTTCTAAGTACTTTCTGATTTCTTTTCTAATCATTTGAGTTCAAGACTCAAAGACTATTTAGTTAGTACCATGCTGTTTGCTGTTTAGATAGATGAGCTATTTAAGTAAAGGTTTTATTTTATAATCAAAACACTATTCATATTTAGAACATTTGCTATATATTTTACATACACAAAATATGAATAATTCCAAGGAACCCAAACCAAAGAGACATAAGGGTGAAAAAAGATATCACTATTATGAAGACTGAAAAATACCTTCAGGATTGACTTTGGGAATCCAAATTAGTTATATTCTGGGTTTAAATATTTTATCTCTTAATATTATCAAAACAATGTATAGTAAGAATCCTCATGGAGTTTTTTTCCATTTAAATATGAAATACACTGATGTAGGTTTTAATCCATGAGCTAATATTCCACAATATTTTCATGTACCTGCTTTTTTAGTGTAACAGGTCACACAAAAGAGTACTGCTTCTGGAGAATCTACTCCTTAAGGAGGTTAAAGGGTATCTACTGCCATATCTCCAACCACTTTGGAGATCAAACCTTCAATCTGGATCAGTATTGTCAATCTGTACTTACATTCTTGTATATTTCCAAGTCATGCTTGGGAGCTCATTTAGATGAGTGGGGAGAACATTATTATTTGTCCCCAGAGGTGGCAATATCCTTCCTACTTAGATGGTAGTAACTTCTATTCCTGTATAAAAACTTGAGGTGGAGGGTTTTGCTGATTTTGTCTGGTGGGGTCAGGGCTTCCACTGTAGAGGCATTTCAGTCTTAGGAACACCTTTTTGATGCAGGAGAGGTTATGGGGAAAGAGTTACTAAGTTCTGTACATGGCAGGAAACTTTACATTAAGAGATGTACAGAGAAGCCATTAGATCCAGAGAGCAAAAAGTTGGGTATTGCTATGAAAGAATTTTAAAAATTGGTACAGAAATTGTTTTTTTTTTTTTAAAGCCAAAGCCCTGAAGTCTAATTCCATAGAATTAGACTTAACTTTTTCCACTTAAAACTTCTCAGTGCTTGAGTAAGAAATTGGGAGCAGAGGGCAATGAAAATAACCCGGTTAGCAAGAGGCAGGGATTCTTCACTCCAGTCAAACCGAGGCAGGACAAACGTGTGTGTCGACGTTCACTCCGTCCTAGTCTGGGCTCTCACACAAGCTCTGCAGAGTTCAGCATATCTCCTCCTCCTCCTCTTCCTCCTCTTCCTCTTCTCCTTCTTCCTCCTCTTCCTCTTCTTCCTCTTCCTCCTCTTCTTTTGTTATTTTCAAGACAGGGTTTCTCTGTAGCACTGGCTACCCTGGAATTTGCTCTGTAGACCAGGCTGGCCTTGAAATCAAGAGATCCACCGCCTCTGCCTTCCAAGTGCTGGGATTAAAGGGGTGTGCCACCACTGCCCAGCAGAGTAATTAATTTCTACTGTTTACTTGTCTGCATACAGAACAAAGCACCTTGTTTCAGCTCCCCAGTACCTGAAAGACTTGCAAAGATCATGCTGGGGCACTTACTCTCCATGAGTTTGCCTGGTGGAGGTGGTGGGAGGACACTCCTCTCTGTCACAGAGACACCCCACCTGAAGATGCATCCAGTCTGTTGTAGTCTGGGGTTTCTGCAGTAAAGCTACTTTCATTATGTATGACATGGCTATTGTGAAGCCAAGTGGCTGTGGTCACCAACAAAATCTCTTGGTTGGAAGTCACGGTGATGAAGTCAGTGCAAGCGGTGAGAGCCGGGTCTATGGCAGCAGGTTTCTGGTGGTTGACCCTCAGAAGATCCTCAGCTGTCATTTCAGCTATGTTTGTCTCCTGTGCTTTCCTGTGCTCTCAGGTGCTAGCAGAGGAAGTGGCAGGTTTACTAGGGAGTTGGGACATCAGTGATGAGACTTTAGAGTCACCCCATCCTGCAGATAATATCAGTAAACTCTTAGTTTAGGCTCATCCGGCCGAGCTTGGTATGATAGAATCATTCCTTTGGACTATTGGTATGCTACCTCAGGTAATCGGCTACCTCAGGTAAATGGCTACCGATTTACTTTTCCCCAGGACAGGTAACTTAATGGGTGTAAACAGGCTTGCCATTTTTTCTTGTATTTTTATCATCATGGTATTAATTGAATAAAATAAAGACAACTTTAGAAATGTATTTTAATTACATTATTATGTGACACTGTTTGATGTTTTCAGGCAGAAAAAATGTTTGTTATCATTATGAACCACCCGCTTTAATGTAGAGGCAACCTATCTGCACAGGAGAAAAAAAAAATGAAGATGTGTTCATTTGTAGAAACACCCAGAAACATCAGACATTTTATTTTGCAGTGTGTACTGCAGTGGAGGTTATTGTTCTACCATGTTTTTGATTTAGGTCTTTATATTATTTTCAATTTAAAGCTAAAACATTTTTACATCATTTAAAAAATGAATTATGGGCCAGGCAAGATGGCTCAGTGGGAGCTTGCTGCCAAGCCTGACAACCTAAATTCAATCCTTAGACCCCACAATGGTAGAGGAGAGAACCAACCCCAGCAAGCTGCTTTCTGACCTCTCTATAAATAAAAAAATTTAAGTGTAACTTTTAAGATTCCACATGACTCCCCCCACCACCATTGGAATATTATAGTTTCAAGTAGCAACAGATAAAACAATAAAAACATTGCAGACTAAATCTACTGAGAAGCACACATTAAGCACATTTAATTACCACAGCCATCAGCGAGTCCTGAGGTCACCTCTTCAGCTCAGAACTCACTCAGCAGGCGTCACTGAGTGAGCTCTGGGATCTCCCTATTATCCACAACGAGCCTATGGATGATCCCCTCTCTCCTCTTCCCGCTGCTGACGGCTTTGATATAACAGCCGTGGTCCCCAACGCTGAAGTGTGTTTCAGTTCCATCATCTACAAACTCGCCCTAGGACAGCAAAGGAGAAGTGTCAGTGCTGCAGAAAGCTCTCTGTCCGAGCTGTAATGTCATCTAAAAGCATGAGTGGTATAATGCAATAGTACGTGAGTAAAACGTTAAGCATTGCAGACTCAGAGTTTAAAGTTTGTGTTTACACGCTTTTATGCTTTTGCTATAAATCCAAAGTTTCTTTCCTCACATTCAGTAATCGTTCTGATTTTTGAAACAGGATCTTCCTCTGTAGCCAAGCTTAGGGTAAGCCAGCACGTGTAACACAGGCTGACCTTGATCTCCTGATCCTCTCACCTCTGCTTTCTTTCTTATTTACTTTTTTTTGGTTTTTTGAGACAGGGTTTCTGCTGTCCTGGAACTCACTCTGTAGACCAGGCTGGCCTCGAACTCGAACTCAGAAATCTGCCTGCCTCTGCCTCCCAAGTGCTGGGATTAAAGACATGTGCCACCACTGCCCGGCCTTATTTGCTTTTTAAAAAACGATTTATTGTGGCGCACGCCTTTAATCCCAGCACTTGGGAGGCAGAGGCAGGCGGATTTCTGAGTTTGAGGCCAGCCTGGTCTACAGAGTGAGTTCCAGGACAGCCAGGACTACACAGAGAAACCCTGTCTCGAAAAACAAAAACAAAAACAAAAACAAAAACCAATTTATTTATTTAATGCATGCAAGCGCTCTATTTGCATGTACACTTGAATGCTAGAAGAAGGCATCAGATCACATTATAGATGATTATGAGCCACCATGTCATTGCTGGGAATTGAACTCAGGACCTCTGGAAGAGCAGCCAGTTTCTCTTAACCAGTAAGCCATCTCTCCAGCCCCACCTCTGCTTTCTTAAGTCCATCTTTACAATGATCATGGTAGAAGTACTCTTATTATGCCCACTTTACAGATAAGAAAACTGAGGCAGATGACTTGAAAGTGCCACTCTGCAAGGAAAGTACTCTCAACCAGTTCAAAATTCTGCTTCCACTGGGGTATAAAGTGGTTTATAATAATACACACTTAGTAACTAAAACTAGACAACACTAAATCTATTGAGCCCTTGAAATGTGTCTCTTTAGAAATGAAATTCACACTCTGTGTTTAAAATATTCGATCTATAGGCTAGAGAGATGCCTCAATGGTTAAGAGCATGGACTGCTCTTCCAGAGGTCCTGAGTTCAAGCCCCAGCAACCACATGGTGGCTCACAACTGTCTGTAATGGGATCCGATGCCCTCTTCTTGTGTATCTGAAGACAGCGACAGTATACTCATATACATGAAATAAATGAATAAATAAATATCTGATCTGCAACCTAGTGTGGACCTGCTAATATATATAACTCACTGTTAACTTCCTCTGTTGATTGCATGTTAAATTATAACTCCTTCCTTTTGCTTTTTTGAAATAGGGTCTTATTCCATAGCCTGGGCTGGCCTATTGTTAACTCTGTAGTCCAGGATGGCCTAGAACTCACAAGTAATCCTCCTGCCTCAAGTACTCCAGTATTCTCCCAACCAGATATTGTAATTGCAGATATGAGCCTCCTCCATCCTCAGCTTAACAGTCTTGATAAGCTGATTTAAATTAAGCATATTAAATTAAAATAATTTTTAGCATGCCTGCTAAAAAAAGTTAATATCACAATGAGAGTCAGTATTTATGGTTCACAGTCTATTTCTGTTGCACAGTACCAATCTACAGAAAGAAGATGAAAATACAGCATTCCAGAGAAAGAAGACATGAGTGGAGGTTCTCAATCTGTGGGTCTCGACCCCTTTAGGAATTGAACAACCATCTCATGGGGGTCGCCTAAGAACATCAGAAAACAGAGATACTTACATTATTATTCATAACAGTAGCAAAATTACAGTTATGAAGTAGCAACAAAACCAATTTTTATGGTTGGGGGTCACCATTACATAAGAAACTGTATTAAAGGGTCACAAAATTAGGAAGATTGAGAAGGCCTTGGAGTTTAGGAAAAAAATATGCCAGAAAACAAGAAAACTAAAATCAAGATGCTTCCAGGGGAGGCATGGAGGAGGTTTGGTGATAGGCCCACAAGAACCTGACCACGTGCATGGTATCCACCACTCTTTTACATGGGCTGTGCGGGCCTTGGAGAGCTCTGTGAACCTTGGCAAGAGCAGAGCGTCTACGAGCAGGTTTATTCACTCCTATATACATTTCACTCCAGGGCACATGGATGCCAGCAACTGAGGACAGTGGCGCCTGGATGGCTTCCTTGAGTAAGGAGCTCCCTTCTCCTACCTTGACAACACTGATCTACAAATTCCATGTCTTCTGGCATTTGTGTCTACCTCCAAGTCGAATCTCTCTGAGTCCGAGGCCAGCCTGGTCTACAGAGTGAGTTCCAGGACAGTTAGGCCTACACAGAGAAACCCTGTCTCAAACACAAACAAACATAAGTAATAAAAACATAAAAATAAAAACAAACCCACCCCATTTTAAGATGGTACCATGTGCTTTGAGAATATGGGCCACACCTTCCTACCCAAGCGTGATCTGAGGTCAACAGCATTGCAGCTTAAAGAGTGGGAAGCTAGAATTTGCATATCGTCTTTGGAGGGGGTGGTGTCACGTGATTTCTAGAGGACCAAACAAGGATGGGGGAGGAACTTTTTAATGTGAGCACTTATCAGTATGAAAGCCTGGTGGGAAGAGGCAAGGTGGCGTGGGCGGCTGTGTCAGCTCAGCCTGCAGACTGATTCCAAACTCTCACTGCCCCCGGGACTGTCTGGCGAAGATTTTCAGAACCTAGTGTAAAACAGTTATTACCACGCCTTTTGGTTTTGCTATGATCCCCTTGGTTAAGTTTTAAAGTCGCCAGAAGAAGAGCTTGGTTGTGGTAGTTCAACACTTGCAACCCCCCCCCACCCCCCCGCCATGTTGAGGAGGTTGAGGCAAGAGGATCGAGTTTGAGGTTAGCTTCAAAAACAGAGAAAGTACTAAAATCAGGAAATGCAGTAACATCCAGTCACTTATACACACGCAGCGCTAGGAATAGTTAATGATAGGAATAACAATAAATAACTCACCGCTGACTCTATTATTTTACCATTACACCATACATCCATAGTGTTTTTTTCTGTAAAGGCAACAACATCGAAGCATTATAATTGTATATTCAAAGTTAACTTTTTACATGTGCTTTAATTTGTATGTGTTGGAGTGTTTTGCTTGCATATATGTTTGTGCACCACATGTGTGCCAGGTGCCCACAGAGGCCAGAAGAGGGTACCAGATCTCCCCCCACCCCCCAGAACAATTTTACAACAAATAACAAAAACCTCGGCATGGTGGCACACACCTGTAACCCCAGCACCCAGGAGGCAGAAGCTGGAGGAAGGCTTGAGACAGGCTTTGGCAGTCCTAGAACTCCCTGTATACACCAGACTGGCCTCAAACTGACAGAGATCCTCCTGCCTCCACCTCCTGCGTGCTGGGATTAAAATCATGTACCACCAGCATGCCTTTTTAAAAAAGATTTATTTTAAAACCTTTATTATGCATATTTGTCTGGTTGTGGGTCTGTGCACATAGTACAAGTGCCCCAGGAAGCCAGTTGAGGCCAGCGGTTCCTGGAGCTAAAGGTACAGGCATTGTGAACCGCCAGCTGTGGGTGCCACCGCCAGCTGTGGGTGCCGGGATCTGTGCTCTGAGAGAGCAGTGTGTGCTCTGAACTGATGAGCCATCTCTCCAGCCTCGACTCCTGCTGTTCTCTGCTCGAAGTTCCCTTCATGCTGCCCCCACCTTGTGGCTTTGAGATGGTTCACAATTTTATAATAATGACAGTACTGAAACTAGCTCTGTCTGTAAGATGAAAATATATGAATCTCTTTGGAGGCGGGTTAAGCCTCTGTTGACATCAAATAGTTTTCTATCTACTTGCCAATCCACTTCAGCATTTTTGGGCACCCAAGTAGATAGGTACAAATATAAGTGCATGTGCACATATGTATGTAGGTATAATTGCCTATGTGTATGGGGTTGGATTTTGTTTGTTTGTTTGTTGTTTTGGTATGTTTTTGCTTTTGCTTTCATTTTGGTCCTGGGGACAAACTCAGGGCCCTGGACCTTGCACATGCCTGGCAGGTACTGTACCATTGGCCTACATCTTTAGTTCTATGCTTTGTTTTGAAATTCCTTGTTAAACAATGAGTAAAATAAAACTTTTCATCTTTATTGTTCTCCTGACAAACAAAACTAAACAAAAGTCTTGAGGGTTGCGTGATGGCTTGCTCACAGGGATGCATGAGAAACAGACAGTGCTTGTGTTCTCTGTCTTATTCAAATCTTCCACTTACCTCTATGGAGGAAATAATTAAAGTCACTATAAAAATCTAACATGACCTGCATATGTTCAAGCTAGATGGGGTTACAGAGGAACAAGTGGAACACAGTTTCCTATCCCTAACCAAGGAATGATCTCCCACTGACAGCTGCTTGCAAAGAAAAATATTAGTTTTCTCTAAAGGAGTCTTTCTGAGTATATAAACCACACCCAGCAGATGACCAACATAAAACATGCTTGGTAGTGTTTTTGTAGTTTTTTTTTGTTGTTGTTGTTTCATATTGCTTTTTTTCTAGGCTTTTAAGAAAAAATCTTACTGGTCTTTTACTTGTATGTTATGCTTTCCAATTTTGTGTTTTTATTGATTGTGTTCCCCCCCCCTCTCTCTCTCTGTGTGTGTGTGTGTGTGTGTGTGTATGAGTGTGTGTGTTTCTTGTGATTCTTCCAAATGTTAAATTTTGGTTTGTTTGCTATTTTCATCAGTTTTCTAAATAAATAGAGAAAGAAAGCATGGAGTTGCATGGGTGGAGCTGTGGGGGAGAATCTGGGAGAAGACAATCCGAATATATTGCCGAATATAGCATATGCATTTTCAATTTTTTTTTCAAAACGGGAGAATCTAAATCAGTCCATAGAAACAGCCTCAACTTACCCAAAACAATTCTAAAGTCCTTGTCGTCTAAGCGAAATAGCCAGGTGTTGGTAGTTTTAGATCTGTTCTCCATGAATTTCCTGAAGCTTTTCCCCTCAATTTCCAGAGTATATTTAAAAACAAAGCCTTTGCCAGAAAGTATACGTATGGTGGCTTTGGTCTTTGCAGCTCCAACACAGAAGGTTTCTTTGCCCACTAACTGGAACATCCACTCTTTTCTTATCTCTTCCTAGATGATGAAATCAAACAGATTAAAACGTGCAAACGAAGGGAAATTTAATATTTAACCTTTGTGAAACGATAAAACCTTCAAGGTGATTGTGGTGGTTTGGATAAGAACGGCTCTTATGTGGCAGGAATTTCCTGCCCAGTATAGTTGCGGTAGAGCTCTGTCATTGGATAGGAAAGAGGAAGGCGGAGCTAGGAGTTGAGAGGAGAAAAGAAGAGAGAGAGGAGGAAAGGGGGAGGAGACGGGAGATGGTTGTAGATATGTGTCTCTAGCAGGCTCTGGTAGTTATTCATATCAAAGCAAATCTAATTGTGTGGGCATCTTGTGTATTGAGTATTTGCTGATATGTAAAAATCTATTTGGTTAATCTTAAGCATTAAAAGTCTTCTTTCTATCTTGTACCAGGAGGATGGCAGTTATTGTCTGAAGTTGAGCTGAGCACTATGAGGGTGACAGAGTTGGCCCAGAGCCCATGCATAGAACCATGGAGTCCACAGAGCTGACCAACGGGGGCAGCAGCTATACCAACTTTTCGTGGGTCCTGAGCTAGTACCACTGGCTAGCCAATGCTGCCTTTAGTGCAGGAACTTAGAGCGGGAAGATGGTGGCCAGGCTGGGAGCTAGCCGTACGCCTCATTTTTCTAATACCTCCCGCAAAACCCTTACCTTTAAAGGCTGAGTCGCCAGGGAATGGAACTATTTGAAAAGATTATAAGGACTAGGAGGTGTGGCCTTTTGGAGTAGGTGTGGCCTTGTTGGAGAAAGTGTGTCACTGGAGATGGGCTTTAAGGTTTCAAAAGCTCAAGCCAGGCCCAGTCTTCCTGCTGCCTACCCATCAGGATCTGAATCTCAAACTCTCACCTACATCTCCAGAAGCATTCCTGCTATGCCTGATGCCACGTTATCCATCATGCTGATAACGGAAGCTGTAAGCAATCCCTAGTTAAACTTTCTTTTATAAGAGTTAGCTTGGTCATGGTGTCTCTTCACAGCAATAGAACAATGAAGAAGACAGTGGTTTTAAAGCTAATGTTATTTGTAATTTAAGAATTCTTAATAAAAAGATTAAAAAAATCATTTGCTGAGTGTGGCGGCACATGGCTTTAATCCAGCACTTGAGAGAAAGATGGAAGTGGATTTCTGTGAGCTTAAGGCCAGCCTGTCTACATAGTTCCAGACTAGCCAGGGCTGCACTGTCTGAAATGAAAAAGTCATTTTCAGTTTAAATGCCAGGTTCCATATTCTTGTATTCTATAACTGCCATTAGATTGCTTTATACAGGAAAATACATAGGTGAAAAAAAACCATAATAACCATTGACATAGAAAAAGACTTTGCATATGAAGAAACTACACTGATTAAAAAAAAAAAATCCAAGCTTCAGGGCTGGAGAAATGGCTCAGTGGTTAAGAGCACTTGCTGCTCTTCCAGAGAACCCAGGTTCAATTCCCAGTACCCATCTGGCAGCTCACACCTGGCTGTCACTGCAGACTCAGGGGATCTGATGCCTTGTTCTGTCTTCAGAGGGTACCAGGTACACATGCGGTGCACCTGCATGCATACAGGCAAAACACCTTTACACATAACAAGTAAATAATAAAAGCTGAAGAAAACAAGCTTCACTGGGTGTGGTGGTACACACCTTTAATCCCAGCCTCCTGGGGAGGCAGAGACAGGAGGATCTCTGTGAGTTTGAGGCTAGCCCTCCTGTCTATATAGCAAGTTACAGGACAGCTAGTGCTACACAGAGAGTGCGTATGAGAGGGGGGAGGGAGGCGAGAGCGGGGGAGGGCATGAGGGCAAGCAAGCAGGTCTCTGTAGCATATTTTACTAAGTCACATTATGTTTTCCTACCTTCCCATCCACATATACAACTCGTTTTCCCGACGTGGTCCCATGCTCAAATTCAATCTTATGGACTCCGTCACTTAAAATGACATCCCAGATAGCTACGACATCTTTCATTTTCCCCAGGCTACGTAGAGGGCAAAGGGAGTAGAAACAAAGCCATTAAAATGGGCTAAACCAGTAACAAAATAGCCAACTAATCCTCCCAAGGTGAAAATATCATTTTTTTTTTAAAGACAGGGTGCTATGTATTCCAGGCTAGCTTCAACTTACTATGCAAGCCTGGATTAGCATGTCTAAGTTTGATCCTAGGAACCCGTGTCAGTGTGGAAGGAGAGAAATGGATCCACAGAATTGTCCTCTGGGCTCCACATGTGCTTCATAATACACACCCCAACATACATGCTCACACATGCGTTCTTTACTTGTTCACAGCCATGTTCCTTCCTGATAAATGTCAGCTTTAATCCCTCAAGTCATTGCCTATTTGAACCTAATTTCAACAGATGCTGACCTAGGCATGTGGTGGCACATACCTATAATTCCAGTGTTTGGGAGGTAGAGACAGGAGGGTATCAGGATTCAAGGTCATCTTCTTCAACATTGCCACATGAGACCTTGTCTAAATCAAACCAAAACCAAGCCACAGCACAACACAAAGACATTGCCCTCTCCAGTGGATTGACTGGAGAGCAGCAGTATGCTCTGTGATGGCTGATGTAGTGGCTGGTAGCCTTGCCCTTGATGGCAAGGAAGACCTAGAATTACTGTGCAGAGTGACATCCCTAAGCCTGTTGCTGGGCAACTACCTCATCCTGCCTCCTACCATGTGTGAGGGGAATGAGGGCTCCAAGCCCAGCCCTTGTGCCTTAGCTCCCATTGGGTGGGATCTACAAACCCTAAGTGTGCTAGGCTGTCTCAGTGTCCCCTGTCAAGTGCAGATCTTACTGCTCTGTTTCCTCTGTATTCAGATACATGTTGGAAGATGTTCTTGAGCTTAGATACGTGCTATTCTAAAACAAACAACTAAGGAGCATGTGGGAACCTACCTGACCCACACAGGTCATGAAGTTCGCTGGGACCACAGTGGCTTCTGGGATAGGAAGGAAAGAATTGATGTTGACTTGTGCTGCCCCCAGCAATCATACAGCACCAGTTTTAGTGGCAGGGACAAAGAGAGACTCCAGCTGTAACCCATCACCCTTTCACCTGGCAGACATCCATAACGGAGGACCAGAAAGAAGTCTCTGTTGTCAATTGTCTTTTTTTTTGGTTGGTTGTTTTTGTAGCTTTCTAACATCCCCCGTTTTAAATGCGTTTATCTCAAATATATTTTAGACTCCCCCTCCCCCCTTAAAACAATATAATAATTAAAACAACCAACTCATCAGGGCCTTGAGCATGTCAGCAAGCACTCTGCTACTGAGCCATATTTCCCGCTCATCTTGGGGTGCCTAAAATAAACCTAAAAATAAAACTGTCATATGAATGTGAGTAATTATATATCTGAAGGAATCTAAATCAGCATACGTTAGAAATACCTAGACACCCATGTTTGTTTGTACGATAATCGAGATATGGAATACACCTAAGTGCCCACTAACAGGTATATGGATAAAGAAAATGAAGGTTATATAAACACAACAGAGTATTATTTATCGACAAAGAATGGAATCATGCTGTTTGCTGGACAATGGACAAAAATGAAAACCAACATGTGGAGGTAAAGAAAGCACACCTAGAAACACCGATGTTACATGTTGTCTTTCATGTTGAATCAAAAAAAAAAAAATACAACCCACCACCACCACAACAAAAAACAAGGCATGAAAGCAGAAACTGTTTGGGAATGTTTGGGAAAAGGAAACAGACCAGCAGAAGCTAATGAATGGGGCACGTTGGCAGGGGTATTGTAGGGAGGGACAGTCAAACACTAATGTCCACTGCTAGTCTCTCGGGTAGCATAACATGAAACCACAGGGAGGCAAGTTGTCTGGCGAGGTACTACTGAGGTCTGGGCACGGCCACCATAGATAGCTGTCTTCAGGCTGACTCCTGCTCCCCAACCTGGGCTGTGGGCTCACCTGTGCAATTATGGCCTATGGACCGAGCACCTTGCAAAGCAGTGTGTTGGGTCTGAGTCCTTGGACTGCAAAGTTTTGCTCCGGCAGCAAGCTTGGAGACTGGAAGCTCTGGGAGCATGCGCATGGGAACGGTACAGTCTATGATCTGCGGCCCTGTGGCCCTACCCATGTAGATATCTAACCTGACACCTTTGTTCTCCAAACAGGCCTTCCTCTGCCTGTGCCCCGACATCATCAAGTCCCACCCTGTGAGCAACGCCCAACAACAAACGTTGCTAAGAGCCATCCTCTGGGGATGCCTGGCTCCGTTGCTGGGGTGAACTTGGTGGATGAAACCCCAGGTCCCCTGCTGCACTGAAGCCTGTGGAAGGTAAATCTGCTCTTGACATTAGTTTTCTAAATCCACTTTCTGGCATCCTTTTCTTCTCTGCCTTGTGATTCTGGAGATTGAGCCAATGTTCAATGTCTTATAAACTGCCCAAATTGGCCTTAAGCTCACCCTGTAACCCAGACAGACCTCAAATTTGCAATTTTCCAGAGCTCATCCTTTACTTCTTTTAAGACCCAAACTCCTTAACTCTGCTACATTTGGGAGGCAGATGTAAAATGTGCCCTCCCATCTTCATACACGGTTACCATCTCTCGAGAACCATCTCTTTGGCAAAACTCATTTCAGTGATGGATGTAGTTTGAGCCAGGCAGAACAGGAGCTTGTTCCAAAATATCCACCCAGTGGAAGAGGTGAATGGACCCTGTCACATCTCTTTGATAAAGACACTGATCCCATTCATGAAGGCAGAACCCCCATGACCTGATTACCTCCTAAAGGCTCTGCCCCTTAACACTTGTGCTGGAAGTCAGATTTCAACATACAAAATTTGAAAGAACTCCAGCATTCAGTTCACGGTCCTCAAATCTTCTGGGCCCTCAAATCTGCTGGGCCCCCAGAAGCCCTCAATTCTTTCTCCTGTGTCTATTCTATTGCTGGGCCTACTCTCTGGGGACCACTCATTGCTCTCGTAAGGTGGCTATGTTGGTTAGTTAAAAAACAAACAAACAAACAAACAAACAAACAAACCACCAAAAAAAGACACACAAAAATCAGTTCAAAATATACTATAATGTCCTACTCTCTTATAGTAATATTATGGTATAGTATTATCATAATATTATGATATAGTGGCCAAAATGATTCAAACAACTTACAGGAGGGACTGTTAATTTGGGCCCAGAATTCCAGAGGTGTCAGTCTGCCCGGGACAGGGCCAGAATGGTGAATGGGCTAGTTCACACCATGGTCCCAGGAAGCAGAGCTATCATGATGGACCAGAGGCAGAGGAAAGAGGGTACAGGAGGAGGCCAGAGCAGGACAACATCCAAGAACATGCTCCCAGTAACCTACTTCCCCTGACTAGGCCCCGTTTATTACCTTTTACCCCCTACTGATAAAACCATGATATACTGTGAATCATCAAGAGATTATTCCATTTATTAGGTCAGAGTTCTCACGATCTACTCTGGAAACATCACACTGAGGATTGCTTCACTAAATCTCTAGGCATTTCTCAATCCAGTCAAGCTGACAGTGAAGATTAACCAACACAGAGAAGACAGGATTTAGGAATATTTATGGGCTGGAGAATGGAGAAAAAGTGATTAAGGATTAGGAAGTAATTGGTTTAAGTGTTCATGACCAAACTTTAACAATTACAACAACCCCGATGTCAGCTCTGAAATTGGTGGTTTTAAAAAAAACAGCTAAAAGCAAGCATGCTTTTTAGGAGTACATGAAGTAGGTTAAGTCTAGAGGGTTTAGTCTGGAATTAAGAGCAGGTTAGACAGGTTAAGTGTGAAGAATTTGTTCAGGTTTTCCTTGGTTTCATAAGGAGGCAGGAAAAAGGCACCATCGATAGGCAAAACAATTTCTCTCTAGATTCTTAATCTTCTAACATCTTGATCTTGGACTTCTCAGCCAGAACAGAAAGCAACAAATTCCTGTGGATTAGAGATTACGTGGTCAAAAAGCCATTCTTGTCATAGGAAGCTGAGTGGCCATCCGTCTTACAGTTTATTTCTGTAGCTTGATGACAGCGTAAGGAAAGGTTGTTCCAACTTTGAGATTAATATAGTGGATAAAGTTTCTAGGCGCTAAGCAAATGCAGTCTGGGAGAGAAGACAGAGTTGACAAGAGGAAACAACCTATTGATTAAGTTAACAGATCCTGTAAATGATATGACTGAATGCCTGAGAAAATTGTGCTACAGCAGTTCTGCTGAGAGAGCTTTGTACCTGACCTTGAAATGGAAGATTCCCTGTAAAAGTAACTTCTATTTGCCTGATGTAATTCTCCAAGACTGACTGCCTCCATCTGCTAACCTGGACCTAGTCCTGGAAGCTTCTAGCCTCTGTACAATCCTATCTAGGCCTGGAATGTTTTTGGTCTCTGAGACTTACTGCTGAATAAGCGCACCCTTTCTAGCTGTTTCTGAACTCTGACTGGCTGGTTGACTCAACTGTTCTGATTCAAAACTCCTCTCCAAGCCGACTGATTCAAGCTGGCTTCTCCCAGCTTCCCCTGAACTGTTCTGCCTGGCCTCATACTAACTTTGGCAATATGTTCTGTCTCTTTCTCCTTCTCTGTCCCATCTGTCTTCACCTGTGTCTAGCCCGTTCTCTCTCTGCATCCTGTCTTTGTACAACTCTCCCTGCAAAACTGCCTCCCTCACTCTCTGCACTTCCACTCAAGTAGCTTCCCTTTCCTCTCTCTTCTCGTGAGTTGGGAGGATCCTATTCTGCCAAATCTTTCTCTGATTTTGTCTGCCACTCAATTAGACATCACTTTCAAACATGGATGCTTTCTTCTACAAACTAACTTTACCTTCATTGTTTGGGATTAAAGGTGTGTACTAAGGGCCTGTCTGTATTCCACCCAGAGTAGCCATGTTGCCCAGTTAAAATCCATCTACAATTCCCCAAGAGGAAGACGTCATAGTAGCTTTCTCTTCATTATTTGTTTTTATTTGTAGATTAGACACATAATAAATGACTACTGAAAGAATGAAGAAGGGTGGTGTGCAGAGTGGAAGGCTCCAGAGATGGCACAAGGCTGGTTTCCTCCTAATCCTTAGCTGCCTCCCCCTTCTGAATTTCTTTTTATCAAGTACTTAATTCTGAGAAACAACTCAGAATGGGAAGGACCAAGAAACCCTAGAGGAGTCGCAGCTCACAGCTTATCAAAGGATAATGTTTTCTCATAAAATTCAAGGAATCTAGCTATTTTTATAAGACTAATAAGACATAACCTATCAAGTTCTTGGTATGTGGCTCCAGATCTCACAACAGCCCAGTGATTATATTTATTCTACTTTACACAGGGACCCAAAAGCCCTTCAGAAGTTATAGGCTTTATGTTTGGATTTAGGCACATAGGATTCAAGAGGTTTATGTTAAGAGATCACATTACTTGAAAAATATTATGGTTGAAGAAAAAATTGAGTTTAATATTTGGACCTCATACTCCGAGCTACACTGAAATCTACACTGGAACTGGACAAGATGACCTGTGATTCTTCAGCCAGCTATTTCCTGTCTATAGTTTCTGGTATGCTGGACTTGAGGAACAGTTTGGGCTGCATTTTGTAACTATTTCACAGAGGCAGGACACCTGTGGGAAGAAGAGTCATTGGTTACCAGGCTGCCAGGACTACACGGCAGGAGGTCATGTCTGAACAAAGCACCACAAAAGGTCTTGAACTTAAACACAAAACGTTCTTGTTCTGGCTGATTGAACTTTCGACTTTGTTCTAAGTCTCATTGCTTTCTTGGCTTCTCAGAAAGAACCTGACAGATGTTTAGAGAGCAGCTGGAAATACGTCCATCACAAAACAAAACATGGGATATGTTATATGTTTTGTTTTGGGTCTCTTTTTGAAATAGGTTGACTGATTTTCCAAATTTGGTATCTATCTATCTATCTATCTGTCTGTCTGTCTATCTATCTATCTATCTATTTTTTCAAGACAATGTTTCTTTTTATAGCTCTAGCTGTCCTGGAATGTACTCTGCAGACCAGACTGGCCAGAACGAAGTGATCCAATATCTCTGTCTCTCTAGTGCTGGGATTAAAGATGTATGCCACCACTGCCCAGCCAAATTTATTTTTATTTATTTATTTATTTACTGTTTTTTTTGTTTTTTTTCGAGACAGGGTTTCTCTGTATAGCCCTGGCTGTCCTGGAACTCACCCTGTAGACCAGGCTGGCCTCGAACTCAGAAATCCGCCTGTCTCTGCCTCCCAAGTGCTGGGATTAAAGGCATGTGCCACCACCGCCTGGCTCAAATTTAGTTTTTAAACAATAATGAAAACTGAAATGAAAGGAAAATAACTATATCAGATACCCAGAGATTTAAAATTTTAATGCTAATGTTTTAATACTCAATATTGGCTATGAAATAATGGAAGAAGCATCAGCATTTTGGAAAACATCTAAAACTATGGCACCTCCTTTTTTACTTCCTGGGATTCAGGCTTAAAGCCACTTCTTCATCTCCCAGGCAATTACTGACCAGGAGGTAAGGTGTATCTGGCAGATCCAACTGACTCAATAAAACAAACAAAAACCAAAACTGGAGAAGTTTCAATGGGAAAAGAAAGTATGTGGTCCTGGTTGCTCCTAGTAGGCAGCTGGAATGAGTATGAATTTATCATGTTTTCAACAGCACAGACCAATAGCAACTGGGCCCTTTGAAACATATTGACCCACTTAACCACTGAGATTGGTTTGAATGAATAAATCTCCAAGTCTACTTCCTCTAGGGTTTCTGTTATATGACCTAATCAATTGCTTTATTGTTTTTATTGTTTAAGGCAATTTGAATTAGGGTTTTTTGTTTGCTTGCTTGTTTTTTTTTTTTTTCCTCTAGCATCAAAAGTAATTCTAACCCAGGGATGTTTGGCCTATGGGTTGGCTCAGAAGAATGAAAAGCCACCCTATTGTTCTGGAAAAGGCAAGCAGTAAGATTATGTTAGAAGATTATATTGAAAATGAAAATCTGCCAGCTCCTTAGTGTGAATATATGGAAAGGGATGGGGCAGGAAGGTGGGGGAGATAGGGGAGTTGGGGCATGTTTGCAGGGAACATACAGTT